GCTACTGGCGCTGGTGCTGCCGCTGGGGGTACTGGTGCTGTCCCTGCTGTGTCTGGAGTCGTCGCGCGGCCTAGACCGTACTTCGTTCCGCTCCTTCAGCAGGTTCTTGGTCTCCCGCCTTCTACTGGTCCTCCTCCTCCCTTAGAGTGTCCACAGCCTGTCCTGTCACAGTTACAGTTACAGCCGGCCTCCCCACTGCCCGCTCCTTCTCCCTACACTGGTCCTACTGGAGGTCTTGCTGAGCGTCGTGAGCCTGCGTCTCGCCCTGCGTCGCCTGTCCGTGCTGCTCGCACTAGTGGTCGTGGTTCGCGTCAGCGTCCTCCTCCTGTCCCTGGCACGCACCGGATGTCTCTGCGTCCGTCCACTGCTCCTCTGCGTGCCCCTTTGCCTTCTCCTCCTGAGTCCTCTCTTCCTGCTCTTCCTGACCCGGAGTCGGACTCTCTTCGTGCTGCCAGTCCTGCTGTCACACGTCTCCTTGCTACTGTCGTCACTGACCCCTCTTTTGAGTCCACTGCTGCGTCTGCGCTTGTTGCTGAGCTCGTCGACTTTGCTGCTCGCTGTCGTCTAGACTACGCTGCCGGTCTTGTTGCTGAGTCTGCGTCTGTCTGTCCTCCGTCCGTCGGGGGTGAGTGTGCTCTTGGCACGGACGTCCTTGAGGACAGGCAGGAGGAGTTCAGGTGTCTGGCTGCTGCTTCACCTCATCTCGCGTCCGTACTACTTGCCCCTGAGGGAGACCCGGATGCACTAGACATCCCGACTCCGCGCTCTTACGCGGAGGCCGTAGAGGGTCCCTACTCCTCTCAGTGGCAGGCAGCTATGGATGCAGAGATGGCGTCCTGGAAGTCCACAGGCACCTACGTTGACGCGGTTCCCCCTCCTGGGGCGAACATCGTCAGTGGCATGTGGATCTTCAGGGTGAAGCGGCCGCCGGGCTCTCCACCTGTCTTCAAGGCGCGGTACGTCGCTCGTGGCTTCAGTCAGCGGCAGGGAGTTGACTACTTTCAGACCTTCTCTCCCACCCCGAAGATGACCACTCTTCGGGTGCTGCTGCACATAGCCGCTCAGCGCGACTACGAGCTCCACTCTCTTGACTTCAGTACTGCTTTCTTGCAGGGTAGCCTGCACGAGGAGATCTGGCTGCGCCGTCCACCTGGCTTCACTGGGACTTTTCCTCCTGGCACCCAGTGGAGCCTCCGACGGCCAGTCTACGGTCTCCGCCAGGCACCGCGTGAGTGGCACGACACACTGAGGACTACGCTTGCGGCTCTTGGGTTTGCTCCCTCTACTGCTGACCCGTCGTTGTTTCTGCGCACCGACACTTCTTTGCCGCCGTTCTACGTCCTCGTGTACGTCGACGACTTGGTCTTTGCCACAGCTGACACTGCTGGACTAGCCTACGTGAAGTCCGAGCTGCAGAAGAGACACACGTGCACAGACCTCGGTGAACTGCGCAGCTACCTTGGCTTGCAGATCACTCGGGACAGAGCACGCCGCACCATTACCTTGACTCAGTCACACATGGTGCAGCAGGTCCTTCAACGCTTCGGCTTCACGTACTCCTCGCCTCAGGCCACTCCTCTGTCTACTCGCCACTCGCTCTCAGCTCTGCCTTCGGATGAGTCCGTAGAGTCGAGTGGCCCGTACCCAGAGCTTGTTGGCTGCCTCATGTACCTGATGACCTGCACACGACCTGACCTTGCATACCCTCTTAGCATTCTTTCACGCTATGTTGCTCCTGGGAGACACCGACCAGAGCACATGGCTGCAGCGAAGAGGGTGTTGCGCTACTTGTGCAGTACGTCGGGCATGGGGCTAGTGCTTGGAGGGCGGAGTCCAGTGGTCCTCACTGGGCACGCGGACGCTTCTTGGGCAGACGACCAGGCTACACAGCGGTCGTCGCAGGGTTACACCTTCAGTCTTGGTTCCGGCTCTGTCTCGTGGCGGGCTACTCGCTCGTCCTCTGTTCTCAGCTCCAGTTGTGAGGCTGAGATCTACGCCGGGGCCATGGCTGCACAGGAGCTTCGCTGGCTCACCTACCTGCTGACTGACCTTGGAGAGCCGCCTCGTTCTCCTCCAGTGTTGTACGTAGACAACAAGGCCATGCTGGCCTTGTGTCGAGAGCAGCGCTTGGAGCACAGAACGAAGCACATTGCTCTCCGTTACTTTCTTGCTCGTGAGCTGCAGCAGCGTGGTCAGTTGCGACTTGCGTACGTGGCCTCTGAGGCCAACACTGCTGATGTGTTCACCAAGGCACTTGCGCCTTGTGACCATCAGCGCTTCTGCACCCAGCTGGGTCTTGTACCTGTCTTGCCTCACTTGCTCTCTTCTTGACCTTGCTTGTACTGTCACATATATATTCCTGCTCTTGCTTGTCTAGCTCTATATATATATGTGTACTCCTGCATGTGAACTGGCCCTGTTGCCCTGTCGTTGTGCTCGGACTGTGTGGTGACTTTGTGATCCACCCTGAGCTTGCTCTGCTTTGCTTGACTGGTCTTGTGACCCCTTGTTCTCCCCCACTTTGCCTATGGGGGTGTGTCAGAACATATATATAGCTTATGCTGTTGTGTAGGCTATAGTGGGGTATCCCATAGGGGGTACAACCCAATTAGGGTTTCCCATATGTACTCACTTCATTCATAGTTCATTCATTCTCGTTCTACTCTTCTCAATTGCATATTCGAGTGGCTCGTGTTCAAATACACCGATTAGAGCCTTTCCGGCTTGGTTCGTGCGCGAAGAAAAGTTCGGCGCCTATGATTTCGGCTTTTACCGACAAACGCCGAGAAAGCGCATGAATCCCTAGAGGCGTACGGAAAAGCAGTCAACAACCTGAATGTTATTGCATATTCGAGTGGCTCGTGTTCAAATACACCCATTAGAGCCTTTCCGGCTTGGTTCGTGCGCGAAGAAAAGTTCGGCGCCTATGATTTCGGCCGTTTTAACCGACAAACGTCTAGAAAGCGCATGAATCACTAGAGGCGTACGGAAAAGCATTCAACAACCTGAATTGCATGAATCCCTAGAGGCGTAGGGAAAAGCGTTTAACAACCTGAATGTAATTGCATATTCGAGCGGCTCGCGTTCAAATACACCTATTATAGCCTTTCCGGCTGGGTTCTTGCGCGAAGAAAAGTTCGGCGCCTATGATTTCGTCTGTTTTTGCCGACAGACGCTTAGAAAGCGCATGAATCCCTGGAGGCGTAGGGAAAAGCGTTCAACAACCTGAATGTAATTGCATATTCGAGCGGCTCGCGTTCAAATACACCTATTAGAGCCTTTCCGGCTTGGTTCTTGCGCGAAGAAAAGTTCGGCTGTTTTTGCCGACAGACGCTTAGAAAGCGCATGAATCCCTGGATGCGTAGGGAAAAGCGTTCAACAACCTGAATGTAATTGCATATTCGAGCGGCTCGCGTTCAAATACACCTATTAGAGCCTTTTCGGCTGGGTTCTTGCGCGAAGAAAAGTTCGGCGCCTATGATTTCGGCTGTTTTTGCGGACAGACGCTTAGAAAGCGCATGAATCCCTGGAGGCGTAGGGAAAAGCGTTCAACAACCTGAATGTAATTGCATATTCGAGCGGCTCGCGTTCAAATACACCTATTAGAGCCTTTCCGGCTGGGCTCTTGCGCGAAGAAAAGTTCGGCGCCTATGATTTCGGCTGTTTTTTCCGACAGACGCTTAGAAAGCGCATGAATCCCTGGAGGCGTAGGGAAAAGCGTTCAACAACCTGAATGTCATTGCATATTCGAGCGGCTCGCGTTCAAATACACCTATTAGAGCCTTTCCGGCTGGGCTCTTGCGCGAAGAAAAGTTCGGCGCCTATGATTTCGGCCGGTTTTTGCCGACAGACGCCTACAAAGTGAGAAGAAACAAGGAATGGATGAACTATGAATGAATTGGGTACAAGTACTAACCCTAATTGGGTTGTACCCCTTATGGGCTACCCCACTATAGCCTACACAATATGCATGAGCTATAATATTCTGACACACCCCCATAGGCAAAGTGGGGGAGAACAAGGGGTCACAAGACCAGTCAAGCAAAGTAAAGCAAAGCAAGCTCAGGGTGTCAGAACATATGTATAGCTTATGCTGTTGTGTAGGCTATAGTGGGGTATCCCATAGGGGATACAACCCAATTAGGGTTTCCTATATGTACTCACTTCATTCATAGTTCATCCATTCGCTTTCTCCTTTTCTCATGGAATCAGAGCAGGTCCCCTCCTAGGGACTGTTTCTAGGGCCCACCGAAGCGCGCCCCGAGGCGCGCTTTCTTTTTTTTTAGCGACCCTCCGTGTCGCCCCTAGCGGCCCGTTGCGCCGCCCTCACCTACGCGGCCCCACCGCCCTCACGTCGCGGCCCCGCCGCCCTCACGTCGCGGCCTCGCCGCCCTTGCCTACGCGGCCCCGCCGCCCTCACCTGCGCGGCCCCGCCGCCCTCACGTTGCGGCCCCGCCGCCCTCACTTCGCGGCCCCGCCGCCCTCACCTACGCGGCCTCGCCGCCCTTGCCTACGCGGCCCCGCCGCCCTCACCTTCGCGGCCCCGCCGCCCTCACTTCGCGGCCCCGCCGCCCTCACCTACGCGGCCTCACCGCCCTTGCCTTCGCGGCCTCGCCGCCCTCACCTACGCGGCCCCGCCGCCCCACTTCGCGGCCCAGCCGCCTATCCTCACCGGCCCCGCCGCCTATCCTCACCGGCCCCGCCGCCTACGACCGCCGAGCCGCCCTGCCGCCGAGCCGCCCAGCAGCCGAGCCGCCCGGGAGCCGAGCCGCCCTGCTGCCGAGCCGCCCTGCCGCCGAGTCGCCCGGGAGCCGAGCCGCCGAGCCGCCCTGCCGCCGAGCCGCCCGGGAGCCGAGCCGCCCAGCAGCCGAGCCGCCGAGCCGCCCAGCCGCCGGGCCGCCCTACTGCCGAGCCGCCCGACCTGCCCTGCCTGGTGAGCACAGCACCACTGTTACTGCGTGCCCCTCCCCTACTGCTTGCACTGCTACACTGTCGTCGTCATGGCTACCCCTAGTGTCCTCGCTTTTGACGCTGAGGGTCGAGCCATTGACTTTGAGGTCTGGGTCGACGACCTGCAGCTGTTCTTACAGTGCGATAGGACGGACGGTCTTTCCCTCTTTGACCTCACCTCTGGTGCCTCTCCTGCCCCTGCTGCTGATGCTGACCCCACTGTTCGCTCTCAGTGGGCCACCCGCGATGCTGCTGCACGTCTTGCTGTGCGTCGCCACCTGCCTACCACTGAGCGCGCGCACTTTAGTCAGTACAAGAGTGCTCAGACCTTGTACGACGCTGTAGTTGCGCGCTACTCTTCCCCTGCCACTGCTGCCCTGAGCCGCCTCATGCTACCGTACCTCTTTCCTGACCTTGCTGCCTTTCCCACTGTCGCTGACCTCATTACGCACCTCCGCACTAGTGACACTCGCTACCGCGCCGCCCTTCCTGCTGAGTTCTGCGCCAAGAACCCCCCCCCCATGTACATCACTCTCTATTACATAGTCACACGCCTCCCTGACTCCCTTCACGTAGTCAGGGACCACTTCCTCTCAGTCTGTCCCACCACTCTCACTGTCGATCTCCTCGAGAAGTCCCTCCTGGCGGCGGAGAAGAGCATCGTCGCTGTAGGAGCCTCTCGTGGTGACCCTCGCACCCCCATCTTTGAGGGGTGTTCTCCTTCCCCCCTGCTGCCCTCTGTTGCCTCTGCTGCTGCTGCCGACCTGCTTGGTCTTGAGTCGGTCTGCGCGGCGTCTGCCCCTAGCGGGAGACGCCGCCCTGGCAGGGGCAAGGGGGGCAAGGGCGCGGGTGGAACTGGAGGGGGCGGTGGAGGTGGCGGTGGAGGCGGCGGAGGGAGTGGGAGTGGCGGTGGGAGTGGTGGCGGGGGCGGTGGTGGCGGTGGCAGCAGCGGAGGAGGAGGCGGTGGTGGCGGCAGCGGTGGGAGCGGAGGCAGCGGTGGTGGTGGAGGTGGAGGCGGCGGTGGCGGAGGGGGTGGAGCTGGTCGGGGTGGTGCCCCGCAGCGTAGCGGCTCTGGTGGTGGCCAGCGTCAGCAGCAACAGCAGCAGCAGCGTTCGCGGGACATCCCCCCGCCCTAGCAGCTCCGTGAGTGGTACACGCAGCGTCAGCGGGGTGGGGGTTTTGGTCCGTGCACCTACGTCCTTCGTTCCGGCGACCGCGCGGGTGAGCAGTGTGGGGGTGCCCACCCCACCCAGCGCTGCTTTGGCCACCTGACGGACGCTTGGCGTCAGCAGTTCCCCGAGGCTAGTGAGATTCCCCGTTGGGGAGAGCTGTCTAGGGCTGGCGTAGCTATCTTTGATCTTGACTTTGATGCTATCCTTGCTGCCATGTATGCTGTGACTATTAGTGAGGAGGGTGACTGTTACCGGTGTTTCCCGCCCGACCCGGGCATTGGTACTGCTGCGCTAGGTACTTCTGCGGCTGCTGCTCTAGGTGCCAGTGCGTCTGCACTCTCAGGTACTGGTGAGGCTGCGCTCTCAGGTACTGCGTCGGCTTCGGCCTCCCTCACCTTCACGCTTGACTCAGGGGCTTCTCGCTCCTTCTTTCGAGACCGCACCACACTCACGCCGCTTGGCCGGCCGGTTGCAGTCTCCCTGGCTGACCCCTCTGGGGGTCCTGTCCTCTCTCACTTCTCCACTGTCCTCCCGTGTCCGGCTGCCCCCTCGGGCACCTTGTCTGGTCTGTACCTCCCCTCGTTCTCGACGAACTTGGTGAGTGGTGCTGACCTGCAGGATGCGGGGGTTCACCAGTTTACTCCTGCGAGTCAGCGGGTGACCCACTGCTCGGACGCCCGCACAGGCCGACACCTGGCCACGTTTTCGCGTCGGCCGGGGTCGAGTCTCTACACCCTGACCACTGAGTCTCCTCCTGTCCCTGCGTCTGGCCAGGTAGCTGCGTCGGGTCAGGTGTTTGCTGCTGCGTCCAGGTCTGGTCCTGAGTCTGCCCCCTGCTCGTGTCGCCGCCTGTCTCAGGAGACCCTCCTGTGGCACCACCGTCTTGGCCACCCCTCCTTGCCTCGTCTTCGGGGCATGGCTTCCCGTGTCCTTGTCTCTGGTCTTCCCCGGTCTCTCCCTCCCCTTCCTTCGGGACCCGGACCTTCCTGTGTCCCCTGTGTCGAGGGGCGGCTCCGGGCTGCCCCTCACTCCTCCCAGTTTCCCCCGACAGAGGCTCCTCTGCAGACGCTTCACATGGACGTGTGGGGCCCGGCCCGCGTCCGTGGGCAGGGTCACGAGCGCTACTTCCTGCTGGTGGTTGACGACTACTCGCGTTACACCACAGTCTTCCCCTTGCGCAGCAAGGGTGATGTCACTGAGGTGTTGATCGACTGGATCCGCGCAGCTCGTCTCCAGCTCAGGAGGAGCTTCGGCTCGGACTTTCCTGTTCTGCGTCTGCACTCTGACCGAGGTGGAGAGTTCTCCTCTGGCCTTCTGCGAGCCTACTGTCGTGCACGAGGCATCCGCCAGACCTTTACGCTTCCGGACTCTCCACAGCAAAATGGGATTGCTGAGCGCCGCATTGGCATGGTCATGGACGTCGCTCGTACGTCCATGATGCATGCGGCTGCCCCCCATTTTCTGTGGCCGTTTGCGGTGAGGTACGCGGCGCATCAGATCAACCTTCACCCCAGGGTCTCCCGGCCGGAGACCTCCCCAGCTCTGCTGTGGACGGGGAAGGTCGGCGATGCGTCTGCGTTCCGTGTCTGGGGATCTCGGGCGTTTGTCCGCGACTTGTCTGCGGACAAGCTGTCCCCTCGTGCTGCTCCCTGTGTCTTCCTCGGCTTCCCCCCTGACGCCCCAGGGTGGCAGTTCTACCACCCCTCCTCTCGTCGTGTTCTGTCCTCCCAGGACGTCACGTTCGACGAGTCAGTCCCCTTCTACCGCCTCTTCCCCTACCGCACTCCTTCCCTCCCCCCGCCACCGCACTTCCTTGTGCCAGGTCCCCCCCCGGTAGACCCCCTTCCCCCTCAGGGTCCTGCCCCTTCAGGTGTGTCCCAGGTAGACGCGGTCGAGCCGGTCGAGGTTGCTGGTGACTCTGGTCCTGCTGCGGGTGCTGAGCCTGGGGGTGCTGACTCTGGGGGTGCTACGCGCGTGGGTGCTGAGCTTGGGGGTGCTGAGCCTGGGGGTGCTGAGTCTGGGGGTGCTGAGCCTGGGGGTACTGCGACTGGGGGTGCTGCGCCTGGGGGTGCGGAGTCTGGGGGTGCTGAGCCTGGGGGTGCTGCGACTGGGGGTGCTGAGCCAGGGGGTGCTGCGTCTGGAGCTGCTGAGCCTGGAGCTGCGGAGCCTGCGGCCACTGGACCTCCCCTTGTGGCGTCTGGCGGTGCGGGACCTGGCGGTTCTCCGGGTGCTTTGCCTCGGCGGGAGCCCCTCTCTCCACAGGAGCTGCGCGAGTGGTTTGCTCGCCGCTGGAGACGTACTGCTGGAGCTGGAGCTCCTTCGGCTGCTGAGGGTACTTGTGCCGCTGGTCCCGGAGCTGCTGGGCCCTCGGGTCCGCCTGGAGCTGGAGCTGCTGCGGGTGTTGGTGCTGAGACTGCTGCTGTCCTTCCTGGCGGTGGCCCTGCTGCGGGTGCTGCTGGTGCTGCTGGAGGTCCTCCTGCTGGAGGTGCGGTTGGCGCTGGTGCTGCTGCTGAGGGTGCTGTCCCTGCTGTGTCTGGAGTCGCCGCGCGGCCTCGGCCGTACTTCGTTCCCCTCCTACAGCAGGTTCTTGGTCTTTCTCCTCCTGCAGCGTGTCCACCGCCTGTTCAGTCACAGTCCCAGTTAGAGCCCGCCTCCCCACTTCCTGCTCCCTCTCCTTACACTGGTCCCACTGGAGGTCTTGCTGAGCGTCGTGAGCCTGCGTCTCGTCCTGCGTCGCCTGTTCGTGCTGCTCGCGCTAGTGGTCGCGGTTCGCGTCAGCGTCCTCCTCCTGTCCCTGGCACGCACCGGATGTCTTTGCGTCCGTCCACTGCTCCTCTGCGTGCCCCTTTGCCTTCTCCTCCTGAGTCCTCCCTTCCTGCACTTACCGACCCAGAGTCCGACTCTCTTCGTGCTGCTAGTCCTACTGTCACACGTCTCCTTGCTACTGTCGTCACTGACCCCTCTTTTGAGTCCACTGCTGCGTCTGCGCTTGTTGCTGAGCTCGTCGACTTTGCTGCTCGCTGTCGTCTAGACTACGCTGCCGGTCTTGTTGCTGAGTCTGCGTCTGTCTGTCCTCCGTCCGTCGGGGGTGAGTGTGCTCTTGGCACGGACGTCCTTGAGGACAGGCAGGAGGAGTTCCAGTGTCTGGCTGCTGCTTCACCTCATCTCGCGTCCGTACTACTTGCCCCTGAGGGAGACATCCCGACTCCGCGCTCTTACGCGGAGGCCGTAGAGGGTCCCTACTCCTCTCAGTGGCAGGCAGCTATGGATGCAGAGATGGCGTCCTGGAAGTCCACAGGCACCTACGTTGACGCGGTTCCCCCTCCTGGGGCGAACATCGTCAGTGGCATGTGGATCTTCAGGGTGAAGCGGCCGCCGGGCTCTCCACCTGTCTTCAAGGCGCGGTACGTCGCTCGTGGCTTCAGTCAGCGGCAGGGAGTTGACTACTTTCAGACCTTCTCTCCCACCCCGAAGATGACCACTCTTCGGGTGCTACTGCACATAGCCGCTCAGCGCGACTACGAGCTCCACTCTCTTGACTTCAGCACTGCTTTCTTGCAGGGTAGCCTGCACGAGGAGATCTGGCTGCGCCGTCCACCTGGCTTCACTGGGACTTTCCCTCCTGGCACCCAGTGGAGCCTCCGACGGCCAGTCTACGGTCTCCGCCAGGCACCGCGTGAGTGGCACGACACACTGAGGACTACGCTTGCGGCTCTTGGGTTTGCTCCCTCTACTGCTGACCCGTCGTTGTTTCTGCGCACCGACACTTCTTTGCCGCCGTTCTACATCCTCGTGTACGTCGAAGACTTGGTCTTTGCCACAGCTGACACTGCTGGACTAGCCTACGTGAAGTCCGAGCTGCAGAAGAGACACACGTGCACAGAGCTGGGTGAACTGCGCAGCTACCTTGGCTTGCAGATCACTCGGGACAGAGCACGCCGCACCATTACCTTGACTCAGTCACACATGGTGCAGCAGGTCCTTCAGCGCTTCGGCTTCACGTACTCCTCGCCTCAGGCCACTCCTCTGTCTACTCGCCACTCGCTCTCAGCTCTGCCTTCGGATGAGTCCGTAGAGTCGAGTGGCCCGTACCCAGAGCTTGTTGGTTGCCTCATGTACCTGATGACCTGCACACGACCTGACCTTGCATACCCTCTTAGCATTCTTGCACGCTATGTTGCTCCTGGGAGACACCGACCAGAGCACATGGCTGCAGCGAAGAGGGTGTTGCGCTACTTGTGCAGTACGTCGGGCATGGGGCTAGTGCTTGGAGGGCGGAGTCCAGTGGTCCTCACTGGGCACGCGGAAGCTTCTTGGGCTGACGACCAGGCTACGCAGCGGTCGTCGCAGGGTTACACCTTCAGTCTTGGTTCCGGCTCTGTCTCGTGGCGGGCTACACGCTCGTCCTCTGTTCTCGGCTCCAGTTGTGAGGCTGAGATCTACGCCGGGGCCATGGCTGCACAGGAGCTTCGCTGGCTCACCTACCTGCTGACTGACCTTGGAGAGCCGCCTCGTTCTCCTCCAGTGCTGTACGTAGACAACAAGGCCATGCTGGCCTTGTGTCGAGAGCAGCGCTTGGAGCACAGAACGAAGCACATTGCTCTCCGTTACTTTCTTGCTCGTGAGCTGCAGCAGCGTGGTCAGTTGCGACTTGCGTACGTGGCCTCTGAGGCCAACACTGCTGATGTGTTCACCAAGGCACTTGCGCCTTGTGACCATCAGCGCTTCTGCACTCAGCTGGGTCTTGTACCTGTCTTGCCTCACTTGCTCTCCTCTTGACCTTGCTTGTACTGTCACATATATATACCTGCTCTTGCTTGTCTAGCTCTATATATATATCTGTGCACTCCTGCATGTGAACTGGCCTTGTGGCCTTGTCGTTGTGCTCGGACTGTGTGGTGACTTTGTGATCCACCCTGAGCTTGCTGTGCTTTGTGTGACTGGTCTTGTGACCCCTTGTTCTCCCCCACTTTGCCTATGGGGGTGTGTCAGAACATATATATAGCTTATGCTGTTGTGTAGGCTATAGTGGGGTATCCCATAGGGGGTACAACCCAATTAGGGTTTCCTATATGTACTCACTTCATTCATAGTTCATCCATTCGCTTTCTCCTTTTCTCACAGGGTGGATCACAAAGTCACCACACATTCCGAGCACAAGTTCAAGGCCACAAGGCCAGTTCACATGCAGGAGTACATATATATATAAAGGCTAGACAAGCAAGAGCAGGTATATATATATGTAACAGCACAAGCAAGGTCAAGAGGTGAGCAAGTGAGGCAAGGTAGGCACAAGGCCTAGCTGAGTACAGAAGCGCTGATGGTCACAAGGCGCAAGCGCCTTGGTGAAGATATCAGCAGTGTTGGCCTCAGAGGCCACGTACGCAAGACGCAGCTGACCACGCTGCTGCAGCTCACGAGCAAGAAAGTAGCGGAGAGCAATGTGCTTCGTTCTGTGCTCCAGTCGCTGCTCCCGACACAAGGCCAGCATGGCCTTGTTGTCTACGTACAGCACTGGAGGAGAACGAGGCAGCTCTCCGAGGTCAGTCAGCAGGTAGGTGAGCCAGCGAAGCTCCTGTGCAGCCATGGCTCCTGCGTAGATCTCAGCCTCACAACTGGGGCCGAGAACAGAAGACGAGCGGGTAGCCCGCCACGAAACAGAGCCGGAACCAAGGCTGAAGGTGTAACCCTGTGACGACCGCTGCGTAGCCTGGTCGTCAGCCCAAGAAGCGTCTGCGTGCCCAGTAAGGACCACTGGACTCTGCCCTCCAAGCACAAGCCCCATGCCCGACGTACAGCACAAGTAGCGCAACACCCTCTTCGCTGCAGCCATGTGCTCCGGTCTGTGTCTCCCAGGAGCAACATAGCGTGCAAGAATGCTAAGAGGGTATGCAAGGTCAGGTCGTGTGCAGGTCATCAGGTACATGAGGCAGCCAACAAGCTCTGGGTACGGGCCACTCGACTCTACGGACTCATCCGAAGGCAGAGCTGAGAGCGAGTGGCGAGTAGACAGAGGAGTGGCCTGAGGCGAGGAGTACGTGAAGCCGAAGCGCTGAAGGACCTGCTGCACCATGTGTGACTGAGTCAGGGTAATGGTGCGGCGTGCTCTGTCCCGAGTGATCTGCAAGCCAAGGTAGCTGCGCAGTTCACCCAGGTCAGTGCACGTGTGTCTCTTCTGCAGCTCGGACTTCACGTGGGCTAGTCCAGCAGTGTCAGCTGTGGCAAAGACCAAGTCGTCGACGTACACGAGGATGTAGAACGGCGGCAAAGAAGTGTCGGTGCGCAGAAACAGCGACGGGTCGGCAGTAGAGGGAGCAAACCCAAGAGCCGCAAGTGTAGTCCTCAGTGTGTCGTGCCACTCACGTGGTGCCTGGCGGAGACCGTAGACTGGCCGCCGTAGGCTCCACTGGGTGCCAGGAGGAAAAGACCTAGTGAAGCCAGGTGGGCGACGCAGCCAGATCTCCTCGTGCAGGCTGCCCTGCAAGAAAGCAGTGCTGAAGTCAAGAGAGTGTAGCTCGTAGTCACGGTGAGCAGCTACGTGCAGCAGTACCCGAAGAGTGGTCATCTTCGGGGTGGGAGAGAAGGTCTGAAAGTAGTCAACTCCCTGCCGCTGACTGAAGCCACGAGCCACGTAACGCGCCTTGAAGACAGGCGGAGAACCCGGTGGTCGCTTCACCCTGAAAATCCACATGCCACTGACGATGTTCGCCCCAGGAGGGGGAACAGCGTCAACGTAGGTGCCTGTGGACTTCCAGAAAGCCATCTCTGCGTCCATAGCTGCCTGCCACTGAGAGGAGTAGGGACCCTCTATCGCCTCCGCGTAAGAGCGCGGAGTCGGGATGTCAAGTGCATCCGGGTCTCCCTCAGGGGTAAGCAGTACGGACACGAGATGAGGTGAAGCAGCGGCCAAGCACTGGAACTCCTCCTGCCTGTCCTCAAGGACGTCCGTGCCAAGGGCACACTCACCCCCGACGGACGGAGGACAGACAGACTCAGACTCAGCAACAAGACTGGCGACGTAGTCTAGGCGACAGCGAGCAGCAAAGTCGACGAGCTCAGCAACTAGGGCAGACGCAGCAGTGGACTCAAAGGAAGGGTCAGTGACAACAGTAGCAAGGAGACGCGTGACAGTAGGACTGGCAGCACGAAGAGAGTCCGACTCCGGGTCGGCAAGAGCAGGAAGAGAAGACTCAGGAGGAGAAGGCAAAGGGGCACGCAGAGGAGCAGTGGACGGACGCAGAGACATCCGGTGCGTGCCAGGGACAGGAGGAGGACGCTGACGCTCGGCGGCTGGGCGGCTGGGCGGCTCGGCTGCTGGGCGGCTCGGCTGCTGGGCGGCTTGGCGGCTGGGCGGCTCGGTTGCTGGGCGGCTCGGCGGCTCAGCGGCTGGGCTGCTCGGTTGATGGGCGGCTCGGCGGCTGGGCTGCTCGTAGGAGTAGGCGTGGGGGCCGTAGGAGCAGGCGCCGGGGCCGTAGGAGCAGGGGCCGGGGCCGCTAGGGCGGCGGATCGGGGCCGCGAGGGCGGCGGATCGGGGCCGCGAGGGCGGCGGAGTAGGGGCCGCGAGGGCGGCGGAGTAGGGGCCGCGAGGGCGGCGGATCGGGGCCGCGAGGGCGGCGAATCGGGGCCGCAAGGGCGGCGGAGTAGGGGCCGCGAGGGCGGCGGATCGGGGCCGCGAAGGGCGGCGGATCGGGGCCGCGAGGGCGGCGGAGCGGGGCCGCGAGGGCGGCGGATCGGGGCCGCGAGGGCGGCGGATCGGGGCCGCGAGGGCGGCGGAGTAGGGGCCGCGAAGGGCGGCGGAGTAGGGGGCCGCGAGGGCGGCGGATCGGGGCCGCGAAGGGAGGCGGCCGGCGCCGCGAGGGTGGGGCCGCGGGGTCGCTAGGGTAGGGCGACAGAGCCGCGAGGGCGGCTCGAAGGGGCCGCGAGGGCGGCGCGAAGGGGCCGCTAGGGCGGCGCGAGAGAGGGGAGCGCGACTCGGGCAGGGGCTGAGTGCGCTCCGGGCAGGAAAAAAAAAAAAAACGGTGGGCCCTAGGAACAGTTCCCACGAGGGAACCTGCTCGATACCATGAGAAGAAACAAGGAATGGATGAACTATGAATGAATTGGGTACAAGTACTAACCCTAATTGGGTTGTACCCCTTATGGGCTACCCCACTATAGCCTACACAATATGCATGAGCTATAATATTCTGACACAAAGCGCATGAATCCCTGGAGGCGTAGGGAAAAGCGTTCAACAACCTGAATGTCATTGCATATTCGAGCGGCTCGCGTTCAAATACACCCATTAGAGCCTTTCCGGCTGGGTTCGCGCGCGAAGAAAAGTTCGGCGCCTATGATTTCGGCCCGTTTTTGCCGACAGACGCCTAC